TGGTTGCCTTTAGGACATGTATGGCTGAGGAAACCCCTTAGCAGTAGTGTCCATTCCGATGATATTCTTTAGGCTAGGTCCCTTGTGATAAGTGTTTTGGGACGTAAAGTGAGGATAACGGGAACGGGTAATCAGGGTTATTGTTGATTGATGAACTTAATAAGTTTATATTATTGTGGGTTGAAAACCCTATATGCTCACCAGGCTCCCAAGCCTGACCCACTCAGCTTTTTATGTTACAGGTAGTGGACCCCGAGCATAGTCGGAGGACGATGAGAGATTTTTGGATTATAAGTCAGTAGTTGTAAATAACTGTTGAAAGACTTATAATGTCTTGTTTATGCTTTTGATCTGTATCGGAACATGACATCCCCAGGTTTTGATATGAAATGAAATGACATATTTCTTAAAGAAAGGTTTTGATAAACTTTTATCATATTTTGTTTTGGGGACCAATTCCGCAATATTTTTTAAAAAGATTTCTCTGATTTTTTTTTTTAAAAAGCATAAATTAAATCGGTCTTTTCTGGCCGAGAAATTAGGGGATGTCACAGATGACTACTTTTATAACATTACTATAATTAGATAAGTTTTTCAAGATTCATTTCTATAATAGAAAGAAACAAAAGTACAATGCTATAGATTAGAATACTTATCAAACTAAAATGCTATGATAGGTATGTTTAATCATTATACTTTGATTCCTCTCGGTTCCTGCTTCTTGATTTCATTCTCTTTAATATGTTCTATCGCTCATGGGTAAAATTGTCAAAATTGCCAAAACTTAGACCCCAAGTGAGAAATAATTTCATGCCTTCAGATGAATAAAAATAATATGGTATAAATTGCCGAAACTTGAAACCAACTGAGATAAATAGGTAAATTACCAATTGAAACTCCAACACCGGTACGTAACTATATCCAACAACAAATTCACGGCATAAACCAAGTTGCTATTGTAGAATTTAAAACAAGTTAATGATTTTATCATTCCTAATTTAGATTGCCATGCTACTTCCAACAATCCATTATTTTCCTGTTATACATCATCTACTATATACAAATATTTTTTAATATTTGTATGATTAAATAATTACTTTTTCTTATTATCTTTATATAAAAAATCTTTATAACCTAATATATAAAATAGAGATAATTATAAAAATGGCCATATGACTACCGAGAATATAAGATACTAGGTGTAAAACTCGTGTACTATACGAGTTGATTAAAAAAAATTAAATATCAAAGTGTAAACAATAAGTATTTTTTAAATAAAATTTTGAAATAAATAATAAAAAAATGTATTAATTACCATTTACTATCACATTTAATACATTTATTACATTTAATACTTTACATATATAAGTATATAAGTATTATGTGACTTTTTAATTTTAAAATTTGAAAAAACCTAAAATTTGACATGTGGACATTATTTATTTCAAAAATATTACAAAATGACAAATGTCAAAACTCATGAGAGATTGACATGTGACAAAATGGATCTTCATTTATTGTAGTAAAAATAACCACAACTTTTCCTGATTTCCCAAAATGATTATAATATTTTCATTACATCCTAGTTATCATCGTACAACGAATGAGAAAGCAAACGAGCAACAAGTTGCGCCGCTAAACTTTTTTGTATGGTAAAGCCAATTCTTTTGAAGACTATATCCATAGATCTAGGAGATATAACATTGTTATGCATGATCCGTTGTACTGTACTAAGAAGCTCCACCGTATCCAGCGCAAGAAAACCAAATGTATCAAATGCAAATGGTATGAACACATGTTGATTTTCCATACATGGTTTCTCATGTTTGGTGACCTTGCATGTAGCAACTTTTAATGCAGCATGTCCCACCATGAAACCCTCAGCCGTCAAGTCTACGAGAGGGGATACCCCCGTAAGGTTCACACATGCGTGTTTCCCTCCAACCCATCCAAAAATCAAAACGTCATCGGGTCTAAGGTCCACACTGCTTTTGCCGAGCCGTCATGTGGAAATGCACTTCTGTATCTTGGACAATTTTACTAAAAATGACACTCGCCAGTATATTCTGGGATTTAGGGGGGAGGGGGTCCTTAGTAGAAAAACTGCTAAGGTTTGGTGGAAATATAATGGGTAGATTTTTATTTTATTTTATTTATTTATTTATTTCAATTTCACCCGATACTTATATCGAAAATTCTTTATACAATTCATAATTATTACAATACTAGGTTTTCAAGTAAACGACAGCATCCGATGATAATCTACTTCATTTTTGTATGATAATCTAAACTTTTGTTAGATTTCAGTAAATTAAAAAATATTTTTTCTTTTAAATTTGGGTCAGTTTTTAGGATTTCAAATATGTTCTTGTATGTTTTTGTTACTTTATCCGAAGTGTTTATATCAAAATCCGAATCCAAACTATAACATTTGATAAAACTTGAGACTAGCTCAAAACAAAATTAAGTTAATCTTAGATGTAATTTTCGAACATAATGTTTATTTCGTTAATTCCACAATATTATTCTAACCTACTGTATATTATTTTAAATATGAGTTTTGGCACATGATTATACCCACTTACGATTAAAAGCTAGAAATTTCTTGAAGCAATAATTGAAATGGTATTTGTAAGTTTGACTTGATCACTTCATAATTGGTGGGCATATTGGTCATCTCACCCTACAGGCCTGCACCCACCTCACCATATTTGTATCGTATAGTTGTATCAGAATTTTCACTTCTCTCCCTTCACAATTCTCATTGGAGCAGAACTACCCTAAATGATAAATAAATATAACACCAATTAAATAAAACTAAATTTTCTTTTGATAAAAATAATCACATAACCACATTCAAAGATTTAAAAGGTAATAAATTTCGAAAAAAGCTTGGCTCAGTTCGGTACATCGGTACTGAGCGACTAGAATTCAAATATTATATACAGATGGATGATGTGCAAAACCAGAAAGTAAGAGGGAGTATTTGAAACAAATTTTTTCTTTAAATAGGTAGAGGAATAAGGAATTCATCATAATTCGGTAGAAGATAGATATTGGCTTTCCCCTCCACACCTTTGCAAACACAATGATGGATGGAAAAGAACAAGAAGGTGCTCAAAGATTCTACAACAAGTATAGCAGTCTCTCCAACAACATCACGTTAAAGTTACACCTTCTCCTTCCAATGGTGATCCTCTTGTCATTCCTCCTCACATTCACCTCCTACAACAGCTATCACTACCCCATGTCTGCATTTCTATTGCCATTATTCACCCACACCTTTGAGAAGAAGTATTTGTTCATCCTTTGCACTACTATTCTCACTTTCATCACCAAGAAAAATCTGCACTCGGGTCTGAAGGAAAACTTACACCATGAAAAGCTACTTTACTCGCTAGATGAAATAAATGTTGCAGCAGTTGTTGAAGGAGACCTCCAAGAATGTGAATACGGTAGATTAGATGATCAAGAATCGAAGGAAGAACATGAGGAAAATACAGAAAACAGTGAGAAGGAAAGTGAGGTTGCAATGGAAGATGAAGCTGATGGAGAGGTTTTTATGGAAGAAGGGATTTTAGGTGGTTCTTCACGCGTTGAAGAAGAACATGCAGCGATGAATATGGATACAGAAGAGTTGAATAAGAAGATAGAGGAGTTTATTCGGAAGATGAGAGAGGAACTAAGGGTTGAAGCTGAACAACATTTGATCAATGTGTAATTTGTTTGCAAAAGCAAATCTCTCTCTCTCTCTCTCTCTCTCTCTCTCTCTCTCTCTCTCTCTCTCTCTCTCTCTCTCTCTCTCTCTCTTCCTGAAATTCAAGTACTCTTACGTCCTGAAATTCAAGGAAAATTTTTCGCTTTATTTATTAAAATTGTGAGGTATTAAAGTGGTAATACCTTGCTGCCCAAGACCAAACAAATGATTTTATTGCTATAAATCTCTATCTAAACTAACGGATATATGTCTTTATTTATACTAATGAAAGCAGTAACCTAAACTAATACGTAATACTTGTTAAGCAAGCAGACAACTTCCTAATCTAAATCTAATACTTAAAATAAAAAGGGTTTTTCCAAAATACCCGTTCACTCATAAAAATCCGATTAACCTAACAACCACCCTTTAATCGGATTGGTCATACCTCTCGTTCACAATAGTGTTGAATCACCGTCTTCCCGAACCATCCCGACTTTTCCCGGACACCCGACCTCCATCTCGGTCACGTCCAAAGTCCTCCATACCCTTTTGATTTTTCATAACACACGTAACATGTAACATGACATCACGTTGGATATATTCATTACCATCTAGATTTTTCTCGGATTCACGACCACTCCCCGGCCATATCCAAATCCATCTGATTTGAACTTCCACCGCTATAAAGTCCACACCGTGTTGTTTCTTCAATCTCTTCCTTTGTTTCGATTACCGTTCTTCACAGAGGCATCTCCACCGACAAAGAAAACAAAGCCACCCGCTCCACCGTTTTCTTTCAATCTGCCAAACGAACTGAATCCAAAGCGACCTGCTTTGACGGATCCTTCCTGCCCGCTTTTCACGCACCTACGTCAGTATCCCCTTATCACGAACAAGTCGAAATTTCTTTCTCGCTAATCATTGTTGTCCGATTAATGCAAACACAACCCTTTGATATTTTCTACCTTTTGATTTCAATTGATCAACGTCTTATTCTCCTTTTTGACAACCCCGACCTAATCAAACTTGTTCCGAGAGCACTTTTCCACCGAACAACAAGACAAGGTCATGAACACCTTTACCGTCTTCTGTCACCCGCAAAACGAACCGAATCAAAGTCACCCACTTTGACGTTTTCCCGTCCGTTTATTCCGCGCCTCCGGTTAGTTCTCTCTATCTTAGAACAAGCCCGATCAAGAAAAATCGGGGCTGCTGTTGAGATGCTTCAGCTCGCGCTCAAAAACAATCCACACCCCCTTAAACCTAACTCGGTTCCCGTAGCGTCTGCCCCTACGCCTTAACAAGCCCTAGGCTCTAGGCTCTGATACCAAGAGTGAGGTATTAAACTGGTAATACCTTGATGCCCAAGACCAAACAAAGAATTTTATTGCTATAAATCTCTATCTAAACTAACGAATACATGTCCTTATTTATACTAATGAAAGCAGTAACCTAAACCAATACGTAATACTTGTTAAGCAAGCAGACCACTTCCTAATCTAAATCAAATACTTAAAATAAAAAGGGTTTTCCCAAAATACCCATGCACTCATAAAAATCTGATTAACCCAACAAAAATATGTCTTACAACACTTTACAATCATTATTACATAGTTTATTATAAAAGAGTATTATAAACTTTATTGATGCTTCGATGAAAATACAGTCACACGTGAGCTTTTCCACGGTCAGATGAACAACCTGTAAAATAGTTATTCAACAACTGTAAGTCAGGGCTTAGTGAATTCTTCTAAAATATTCCATACGACAATATATACACAATGCATGCACATAATGGTCTTCAACATATAACTGGTCCTCCCCTTAGCCTTCAACATAAAGCTGGTCCGCCCCATTTTGACTACAACATATAGTTTGTCCGCACCTTGGCCTTTAGCATAAAGCTAGTCCGCCCGAGTCTATTGGCCTTCATCACGAAGCTGGTATGCCCTCAACTCCCACATAATATATTAACATATATAGTAAGTAATATTCCAACATTACAAGCAACTATCTAGCCTAATTGCTTAAGTGCATACTACAAGCAACTATATCCTAACATACGGTGGATACATACTGGAGTATACAATATAGTTAGATGAACTCACCTTGATAGTTCTCAGATGATTAATGGCTATCCGGGTAATTCAATTGACGAGCATGTGTCTAATAGATATCAACCTATAATGTTAGAGCTTATCAATTACTAGGGAGAATCTGGTAATATGAGCCAGACCTATCACTGATCCCAACGAATACACATAGGTCTATCAAATAAGGATAAGCCAGAGAGGACAGTTGGGAGGCAGGACCATTTCGGCATATAGCCTTTCTGAAATCCAACAACCAAGCCAACGTGACCATTCTAGCCACCTCTCCCGTAAGTAGATCAATCAGTATTATAGCTTGGAATTACTGATAGTTCTTATTTATAAGTTCATAATAACGACTTATGACTATAAATATAAGTTACACTGAAAGCATTACTAGTGTATCTTAACTTATAGAGATTCTTCCTGTCTATTGCCCAGGAATCACACTCGTAGGGCTCCTACTTGATGGCAACTACTTAGTTGAATACCTCAGGTGTCGTAGGGCTTCTCCGGAACAAATAAGTCTAAGGAAAATGGGCTAAAAGTGCAGTGAACTCAGAGAGAAAAGGTTGTAGGGGTGTGGGAATGAAAGGTTATACGACAAGGAGTATTTATAGGCAAAAAAGGCAAAAGCGCGCCGCGCCCTAGGGTGCTGCTGGCTCCTATGGGCTTCTGCCACATGTCGTGATATCGATGGTTCACAACGGTGCTTCTAGAACCTTGCCACGTTTCACGTCCCGATGATGCCATGTGTCCAAATATCATGGTGCCATGTCACTATGTCTCGGAAGAAAGAGGCTACCCCAACAATGCCACGTGGCTCTCCCTCGTGGTGCCACGCCAACGCGCGCACTACACACTTCGCGCCCACGATTTTCCATATTTTCAAAATGGTGTAACTTCTTCATACTTATTTTGTTTTCAATGTTCTTTATATCCCCGGAAAGCTCTCGATGAGATCTACAAATTTCCTTTAGATCCTAACAACTAATTCTCACTCTATCAAAAATTTATATTTTTGATAGGCTTAGGCTGCAGAGATTGCTGCAGAAATCATAACTCCTATTTACGGACTCCGTTCTCGATGTTCTCTATTTCGACGGACTCCTATTAATGAGATCTTTAACTCTTGTTAGATTATATTGTCTAATAACCTATTGTTCCGGAATTCGATTTCTGTGTGCACACTGTTGCACTGAAGTTTCTAAAAATCATAACTTCTCATGAAGTCAGATTTAGACATTCTAAATATGTACACTCTTGGTTTAACTACTAATACAACTTTCGTTTAGATCACTTAGGCTAAAAAGTAATTTATCCAAAATTCACTTTCTTCGACACAGAGAGCTGTGTCGGTTTAATCGCGATACTTCGAAGAAGCATAACTCTTCATAGTAAGTCGGAATTTAAACGTTGTATCACAAGTAACGATATGAAGGTATATTATGCTGAGAAACTAAAGGAGATGTAGATCAGTAGTGTAAATTAATGCAATGACTGTTTATGCTTATGTTTTGTATCAGTTATGACATCTCGGGCTTTTAAAATATAAAATCTTCTGAAATTCCTTGATTTTGATATTATATCAAGTCAAGGATATATTAGGACCAATTTCGCAATAACAAATGTTTTTAAATAAGCATAAATAAAAAGTTTTAAAATGACCGTAAAAATGGGGATAACAAACACGTGGTCCCACAAAAATAGGACACATGGCATACTTCTAGAAGGGGTGATGTGGAATGTTTTGAGTGCGACACATGACACAAGCTGAGAGGGGTCAGCAGGAAAAGAGGGTGTGGCGCGCCTCTTGTCTGTGCACGGGGCGCCTCCCAGTAGGCTATAAATACCCCTTCCGATTTTCATTCATTTCACACCCAAAACTTCATAAATCTCTCTCAAACCTTCAGAATTCTTTAGGTCCGATTTTATTGAGATTCTTGGGTGATTTAGCGGGGCACTAGCATATTTAGGAGTCCAACAAATAGGAGCTTTCGGGTCGGGATTCTGTTTGTATAATTTCCCAGGTTTCGCTAAACCCTCTATAAGTTAAGCTACACTCTTTTGCTTTCAGTGTAACTTATATTTATAATCATAAGTCGTTATTATAAACCTATAAATAAGATTTATCAGTGATTCCAAGTCATTATACTAATTGATCTACTTACGAAGATGATGTCTAGGCTGAATTTAGTGAGGTGTTTAAAATGGGATTTCCAAACAGTATACTCTGTATACCAAACGGACCCTACCTCCGATATGATCCTACCGGGTTATTCCTTACTTGGTAGATCTTGATGTAGACATTGGGATTAGTGAGGAATCTAGATGTGACATCCCCAAATTCACAGCCAGAAAAGACCGGTTTCATTTATGCTTTTAAAATAATTTCAGAGTAAATCCATTGATTTAAAAGAGTTGCGGAATTTGTCCCCAAAACAATACATGATAAAATAAGGTTTATCAAAGCATTTCTTTAAAGAAATGTATTTTCATATATAACAAAACTCGGGATGTCATGTTCCAATACAGACCAAAAGCATAAACGACACATTATAGGCCTTACAGCAGTTATAAACAACTACAGGCCTATAAACAAAATAACTTGATGATTCATCCATCTTATGCTCTCACGCCACTACCTGTAATACAAATAAAACTGAGTGGGTCAGGCTTGGGAGCCTGGTGAGCATATAGGGTTTTCAACCCACAATAAATAATTATTTTAATTTCACCAACCAACAATAACCCGATTACCCATTCCCGTTATCCTCACTTTACGTCCCTAAAACAACAACTATCACAAGGGACCTAGTCTAGGATTTTTCATCGGAATGGACATTACTGCAAAGGGGTTTCCTCAACAATAGATGTCCTAAAGGCAACCATGAGGGGGATAGAGTACACCGGTGAACACATCGTTTACAA